GCGATCGATCATTACTAGTAAAGGAAACAAAGTAAATATATGCATACGAATCGGTCACATTGTTGTCTGATGATAGAAAGGTAGTGGAGTGACAAAGGTAGAATAATTTCGCATGTGGGGAGGGCTTATCCGCAAAAATTTTCGCTGTCAAACACCATAGGGGTAACGGTGGGCATTCCGTCCCAGTCGCTGCCCGACTTCCTCTCCGCCCCTCTCCTCCTCTCTCCGGTCCTCCTATTTCAACTCCCTCAGCCCCACTCTCTCCTCCTCACACTCACACACACACACCCAGATCTCATTCGTAACAACTCTCTCTCTCTCTCTCTCTCGCTTTCGCTCTCGCTCTCTACCTTCCCCTGTAGAAAGCATGGGTTCCGATATCCGCGTGATCCCCGAGGAGAACTCCTTCCGGGTGTTCATCGGGTACGACCCTCGGGAGGACGAGGCCTACCAGGTGTGCCGCCGCTCCCTCCTCCGCCGCTCCACCGTCCCCGTTTCCGTCCACCCGATTCGCCAGTCCGATCTCCGCTCGGCCGGTCTCTACCGGCGCGAACGTGGCCCCACCGAGAGCACCGAGTTCTCCTTCACCCGCTTCCTCACCCCCTACCTCGCCAGTTACCGCGGCTGGGCCCTCTTCGTCGACTGCGATTTCCTCTTCCTTGCCGACCCCGCCGCCCTCTTCGCCCTCCGCGACGACCGCTTCGCCGTCATGTGCGTCCACCATGACTACGCGCCCACCGAGACCACCAAGATGGACGGCGCCATCCAGACCGTCTACCCCCGCAAGAACTGGTCCTCCCTCGTCCTCTACAACTGCGCCCACCCCAAGAACGTTGCCGCCCTGACCCCCGACGCCGTCAGCACCCAGTCCGGCGCCTTCCTCCACCGCTTTGCGTGGCTCGACGACGCCGACATCGGCGAGATCTCCTTCGTCTGGAACTTCCTCGTCGGGCACAACCGGGTCGATCCCGCCGATCCCGACCGCACCGCCCCCAAGGCCATCCACTACACCACCGGAGGGCCCTGGTTCGAGCGCTACAAGGACTGCGAGTTCGCCGACCTCTGGATCAAAGAGTTGGAGGAATTGAACGCCGAGAAGAAGAATGAGAAGGCGGCAATCCCCAATGCTGCATCTACTTAGGTAGTAGTATCTATGAGGATCTATATATCTACTAATAATCTCGTTGTTCCCATTTGTCCTTTTTTATATTTTAACAGCAACTTTACTAGTAATTGCTCCGTCGCAGCTTATCTTTTGGGCTACGCGGATGGGCAATAATGATAGTAGTTCATGTCGCTGTTTTTAGGCATTATTCCGACTATTATTATGCAGTCAGCATCTATAAAATGTTTTGTTTGTATGATAATTCTCTTATAATTAAAAGCGTATTTCTTCTTTCTCTTGATGTTTCTATGAGTACGTTTAAAGTGAGATGCATTATGTTTCTAATAATAATGGGCATTGCTTACCTGCTTTTGGTGATCTTCTCACGTAGAATTCAGATGAATTTATGCGAACTCCTTTCCTCTCTCTTGGAGAATTTGCAATGGAGAATTCAGCAAGATGCAAGTAATACGCCTGAGATTTCCAGGCTTTGTTTAGTTAAATCAAGCTTGAAGTTGAGATTTGTCATTCATCATTCGATATATCCATGGAATATTGCAGCTTTTTTTAGGTGAATAAATAATGTGGTATTGATTGTTGTCTGTTTGTCTTACTAAAAATGCATCATAGGCTGAGATTTGTCAGATTTATTTGAGGTGAAGTGGAAGGAAACCGCTTACTATCAGTATGACAGAACACACATTCTTGGACTAGCTTTCTTGAGCAGCAGATGAAATTTAGGTTTAGCCAACTCTGTTATGGCATTTTCTTTTTGGTAGGGGGGGGTGACTATGTTATGTATGGCTTGTATCTATAAACCTGCCATTACTTGTGACTCATAATGGTCTGTGGCAAATGCAGTCAGGTGGTGGTGTTATCTGTTTGTAATGAGGGAACTTATTGCACAATAGTTGTTGTGTGTGTGGAAGAGTACTATGTAGTGTTTTTAGATGTTTCAAGTGAGTGTCGATCAACTCGAACAATCGTATGTGCTTTTAGTTTGTTGTAGAAATTGGAGTGGTCAATCCTTTTGAAGCTATCATTCTCGGAGAAAAGTTTGTTCATTGAGATGGAAAACCTGTTCTATATATATATATATATATAAACAGTTGGAATTTGTTTATATATATATATATATATATATATATATATATATATATATATATATATATTCTACGTGATTAGTGGTTTCTTAGATTAGTCGAAAGTATTCATAATGTTCTCATCGGATTTGCCCGCTCCATTGGGTGACGCATCTCTTTCTGTCCCCACCGTTCCACGTGACACGGCTCATCTCACCCCTCCGTTCGGCATCAGAGGGTCTTCTCAATCGGTGTGAAGAATAACAAGTGAAGTGGACGCGAAGTAACCGAGCACACAATATCATTTCGTCATCGACTTAAGCAAATCCACCTCCCTGGCCTCCTCTACGTTCCTTCTCTAACAACTTCCACTTCTCTCTACCCCTGCAACCTCCTCCGTTCCTTGAGCTATCCGCTTATACCGCATGTCGACTACCTTTGTGCCTTTAAAGCTATTGGCATAAGCTCTCGCTGCCATTGTAGCAGCGGGTTTGAGCCCAAAGCATGGGGAGCGGAGAAGAATATGGTGTTACTGTGGGGAGAGTCGAGATCGATACCAGTCCGCCGTTTCGGTCCGTGAAGGAGGCTGTCATGCTCTTCGGAGAAAGGATGTTAGCCGGCGAGGTCTACGCAAGCCGGCTTGACGAGGTCTCCTCTGCCTCCTCTCTCTCTCTATGTTTCTTATTTGAACATATTAATCCAACTGCGGACACTGAAACTTCAATGGCAACAATCTATAGCTGAAATTAAGGAATTAATTTCTACAAATGAATTTTGGATGCTTGTAAACCTCTTTATATGACTCAGTAAGAAAAGATTTGAATCTCTTAATTATATAGAATATAGCAGAGATGATCGAATAGCTTCAGCATGACAAAATCAATTTCTTTTCTTTGTGGGTAGATTCGTGCTCCAGCAAACAGTAATGAGATCGAACGCTCACGCATGGGATCCATAGTTGCTGAGTTAGAAGAGACGAGACAGAATTTGGAGAAGGCCAACGAGGAAAGGCAGGAGATGCTAAATCGCCTCTCCTCCCTCGGGGAAGAGCTCGAGAAGACGAAGATGGAGATCAAACGGCTGAAAGCCGGGGAGAGCGAGAAGAGGGTTAGAGATATAGAGATCGAGGACGTAAAGTTCGTCGAAAACGCAGGCGAAGTCGAGGTGGCGGCATCGCTACTCGGCAACCATCATCAGGTGGTGGAGTTACAGAAGAAACGGTACGTCACATTTGCGGATCCTCCTTCCCTGGCTCCAGTGCTGGTGAATGCAGAGGAGCAGATGCTGGAAAGGCAAGTTTCGGTGGACAAGGAAAGCACCCGTGTGACGAAGAAGACGACGAAAAAGAAGCCATTGCTGCCTTTGATTGCAGCACTTTTCGCAAAGAAGAAGGATCGTCAAGATGGTGCGGTCCGAAGAGGTCGTGGATTGTAAGACTCGTTGAAATAACAAGAGAACGCATTCTCTTCATGAGCACGCAATGGTTCGTTCTATCATCGTGAAAGATACACGTTTCCAGTGTTTAATATCGGGCCATCATGCACATCGTAGAGAACCGGTGCAGCAATGTAATACTATGAATTATCACTTTCCTATTTTCTTTGTTTATGCTCGTGACTATGAAGTATTCGAACCAGAAATCACCGTCATTTCATCGAACACTTACAGTCGGCCCATAACAAAGCAATACGCCGGCCCATCATGTGGTTTAAGGTCATGACCGAAGCCGCACTCACTTGACTCAAGACTATAACCTACTCATGATGAAAGCAACTTAGCCAATCATTCGATGCCAAGAACCCTTTACGGTCATTACAACATATAAGAACCATTGCTGAATTGTAACAAAGTCAAGGTCCTCATGGAGGTGCACTCAGAAGACCAATTCATGTATGTCAAGGCTTGCAGGCAGCACATTCTGCACGTCACACGGGGCCCAGTGAGTCCAGTCTCTAGCCAACATAATCTACCGAGCAGGCTGCCCTCTACCAAGTCTTCGTGCACATGCTGACCGAGTCCATGCAACATATGAAGTTGTATTCACTTGGTCACCATGTCGGCCAAATCATCTGCAGTAGGAATTCTTCTACCAGAATTAATGATCAATGTTTGGAATCTACTGCTTAAATGACTTAAGTGGTATACAAGAAGACTGTTGCAACATGTAGCTGCAGAGTTATATATGTATACATGTCACCAACTATGATGCCCGGCAATATGAATCCTGCAGCTGGCACTGAAACCAATGTCTCACCTCCTTTTCAGTGGTCGCAAATCCCAGTGGACTTTTGGTGAGTGTGACTTAGTGAGTGGAAGAAGAACCTTCACATGAACCCACGATTTCTGCAGCATCGAAGTCTTTGGCATGTGGATGGAGTGGTACGATCCTCTTCATCTCTTGCTATTAAATTAGCCTTCAGCAATCAGTGAAGGGAGAGGGAGGGTTGAGTTGAGTTGAGCTCATCGTGGTCAACCAACTCATCTTCGAGCTATTATTCCTTGCCTTGAAGACAATTTGGATCACGTGCCCTGCAGTTATTAGGTTATGCATCCGGAAAACGGGGATCGGGGGACATGAGGAGGTGGATACGAGATTAGATCCATGCAAGTTTAGCTACCGAAGCATGTAGAGGACTTGCATGCTTCGATACTGATGCTGTTGGGCCATCATCATCTTCCAAACTTGTATCAAGGAAAAGGATGTGCAGACTACGTAACAGTGGGGAAGATTAGGCGAGCAGTACTTGTGTTCTTACGAAGGATCCTTCCGAGATCATTCGTGCAATTTTCCTCCATAATCTCAATCGTTGATATGTTGTGGACGAAGAACAAGTGTTAAAACTAATCTGATAAAGTCAGGTGAACAACTGAGATTAAAAGAGAACTAGAGGTCATCCAAATAAAAGTCCAAATACATATCAGATTACTAAATCTTCGATAGATCGCTCAGCTGAGGGCTCGATAGATGACGACGAAGCAGGGCAGGATGGCCCTCGGATTGGCCACGAGCAGCTCCTCTAGGTTCCCGTACGACTCTCCGCCGTCCCCAACCGCCACCGAGTCGTACGCGTCCGCAGCCACCGGATCGTCGGCCGGCAGCCGGACACGTCCCGCGATGACCCGACACACCAGCATCGCCCGTTGTTCTCCGCCGCTGTCCTCCACGGAGGCCGCCGGGCAACGGTCGTGCGCGAGACTGCTGCTGGCTGTGGTGCGTACGCCGTGCGCGGGCGCGAAGCCGTGGCGGATTATGGTGCAGACGCCGCAGGCAGCGGCTCCGCCGGGCGAGGAGGAGGCGGAGCTGGAGATGGAGCTGCAGTTGGAGCAGAGCGAGGTGGAGCCGCGGGCGCCGAGAGAGCAGGAGAGGGAGGCGCAGTGGAAGCGGAGAAGCTCGTTGCCGTCTGCGGCGCAGCGGGAGGGATGGTGGTGGCGGTCGCCGCCGGCGGTGGAGGAAAGATGCGGGAGGGCGCGGGATTTGACGGCGGCGCGGTAGTCCTCGAAGCGGGCAACCGTGCGGGGGGCGTTGTGGACCTTGAGGATGCGCTCGATTTGGCAGATCGGACGGTCCTTGTTTTGCCAGCTGGACTTGAAGATTATCTCCACAATGTTGCGTCCCGAATCCTCCGGCTCCAACTCCGACACTGTATCGCACGTTATGGTGAGATAAAGACGCAGTTTTATGTACGTCTTTAGCATCCAACAACAGATAAAGAATCAATCAAATTAATCTTCGAACAATTTGATGAGCAGAATTAATCAAATTGCTTTTTATTTCTCGTCCTATTTGTTTTAAGAGGACTGTGTCTTTTGTCTACCCGTACATCACCAACATTACTACTACTCCTGCAATGGATGCACCAACCGACAGCTCTAATTACTCCACTCTCTCTCTCTCTCACTCTCTCTCGACTCTCCCCTTTCAAATGAATCTGTTCTTTGAACCTTTATAGCAAGTCGCTCCTAGTTTATTCGATGAACCAAAAATAGTCCGAGTTGATCGAGTAGAATAAACTGTTGTACCTGCATGGCGTAGAACTCGATGTAATTCCAGGCTATCTGGCTTCGTGAACACCTCCCCGCACTCGGAACAAGCACACAGTGTTGTTCTTGGCCTCGGATACCTCCTTCGATCGTCTCGTCAGAAATAAGAGTCAGTGAATGATAACGAGTAATTATGGAGGTAGATGCACCATGATTCACCTTGAAGAAGGTTCGATGGAGACTGCACGGCATTCGTAGCACCCTGACAGCTTCGGCAGCTGCATTCCGCCCCTGGAGTAGCCGCCACAACCTACGGATGACACCGGCGGGTGGTGGCGCGCTGACCGGGCCGCCTGAGCGAGCGGCGGGGTCTCATGTTGGGAGACGGAGACGGAGCCGGCGCTGGAGGAAAGGTCGGTGTCGGGGCGGTGGACCACCCTCGTGTTGCCGTGCAAGACGTCGCGCAGCGCGCAGATGGACGACCCGCAGGCGGCGCGGCCGAGCCTCGCCGCGGTAGACGACGGGTCGTGGACTTGCGACGCTGCGGTGCTCCGGCAGCTCAGCAGGCTCTTGAACTGCTCCCATGAGGACGATGACGATGAGGAGGGGGACGGTGGAGCCAGCGTCCTGGTAGAGCCAGGTGGAGACGGCTTCTTCTTCCTCTTCCTTCTCTTTCTCTCACGTCGGTCGTCGGTGTGGTGATGTTGGTGGTGGCTGGTTGGCGTGGCAGCCTGAACGAAGGAGGTGAGAGCCATCAGCACTGGAGCAGGGAGGAGGCGGCGTACGAGGACCAAAGGCCTCCCTCCTCTCCACCATTAACCTTCTTCCCCCTCTCTCTCTCTCTCTCCCCCCGCTGTGTCCTTTCCGTCTCTCTTAATAACTACTCTATTTCTAATTTGCCTCTCTTCGGCTCCTCCCCCTCCCTCGATCCTTGTGCCTGGTATTAAGAAGAGGGATGAAAGAGCGAGGAGTGAGGTGGAGGTGCTGATCTGGTCTTGGTTTCTTCGTTGGGTAACCTGCACCACCTAAAGGGCTGGCATTGACCATTAAATAGGTGCTGGGTGGACACATTGATGATAGATGAGTGATGGGCGATTGACTCGGACAGCGAGAAATCCGTGCTCGGAGAGTAAAGACTCCTGCAGACGGTAAAACCGGAGGTAATGAGCTGCACGGTGTTGCATGTAAAATATTATGTTTGGAGGTGATATCGAAGCATGGCATTGGCAACACAGCCTCGCAAGTGGCACCTTAGTTTTTGTTCTACCATCTACGAAGTTCGATGAGGTCATATATGCAACGCATCCATAAATCTGTTCTGCAAAGAGACGAGGAAATTATCCCCTCCTTTGTTGGATCCGCTAACGTGGATCTAATCCAAAACGTCGACATCCTCATCAAGAGTTGAAATGTTATTACGTAGCGATTAAATATTTGGATCGATTAAATAGTGATTAAAAATAATTTTAATTTTCACGAGAATATTACTGATGAGGGTAATAATTGCGATATTGCGATAAGACTCGCGTGACATCAGCTGTCCTAAATAACGCCTCACGTCTCTGTTGACCTGACAGCACTCTTGGTCAACGCGGACCGGAACGCCAACTAAAGCACATTAACACCCTGCTCAGGCTCGATCCCTCACGCCATGCCAACGGCGATGTCAGACGCTACCAGAAGTACGATTCTACTCCCTACGGGCAGGTACATCAGCCAACGATAATTCTCACTATAAAAACTCTCGCACTCCGAGGGAGAAGGGGAGGACGAGCTTAGATAAAAAAACCCCTGCGACTATTCACTAACTTGATCGTCGGAGGGGTCAGGCCGAGCTCCCCCAACCCGACCTTTGTGTAGGTGTGAGGGCGGAGGTCTCCCACTAAACGCCCAAACGAGGAGTTCCTTCCTGGAGTAAACGGTGACCCCATCCCGATTGGACCACCACGATCGACCACCTCAGCCGTCACGAGGATCGTCCCTGGAAGATTCCCCTTCATTCGGACTCGAACCAAGCTGCGTCGATCCCGAGGCCACGACTTAAAGTTGTTCACCTCAACAATTATATGGCATTCGAATCCCCCCTCCCTTCTTTAAGCAATTGTAAACACTTATGAACGTGGCAAGTCCAATTGGATGAAGACTCGAAACCGAAACATCATCATCACTGGACTCGGTGGAGAGATAAATATTTTTAATTTTTTTATGACAAGAGTAGAGTGAGAAATTCTATTAACGGAGGAAGAGATTCGAGTACCATCATAAATAAGATAAAAAAAAAGAAACCTCTACATTTGAATAAAAGAAAGTGAGAAATCTATTTAAAGAAGCTTTAGAAAGTCAAAGAAACATTAAAAAAAAAAAACATTCTCTTCTATTCCAACCAATTTCCTTAGCTCATTATTAGTATTAAAGATAGTGTCACATAATACATTGAACGGTGAGGAATATCGTACTCGATAATTAAAATTTTGTACCATAATACGAAAGAGTTGTTATAAATAAAAATAATTTATTTAGAGTCGATCATGCATTTAAAAAAGAAATATCATAAATACTAAGGCCCTTTAAATGTTGGAGAGATGTGATTTTGTTTGTGACTAATGAGTTTGAGATTTCTAGATGTAGGGGTTTCAAAAAAATAAAAATATATCCTGTAGATAAAATCATAGATACTGACTTATACATGTAGCAGAGTCCCTAAGAGAAAGCTTTACTAATTTTGAAGATTCTATAGGAATAGTACTTATCCAGATATATTTTACAAAAGAACATGATCAAGATAATTCGCTTTGGGTGATAGTCGTAGCAGACTATCTTATAAGGGATCATTTGATCGATCGATCATTGGTGCGACCCGTAGACTGACGAGAAATTATTCGTTTTGGACGATGGGCATACCTGTATGATTGTCCTTCTAAACTTCAAAAAATACTTTTGATTTCCATACCCCTCAATTAATATAGAACTAAATGGTCTTACGACAAGATAACTATATGATTCCATGTATGAAATTTTAATTTTCCTGTTGTATCGATTGCTTTGACTTGCGACCATATGAAACTTCTTTTCCGAGAGGATATAACGAAGCCTATATCCATTTAGACCATCAGTCATATAGTTCAATTCCTTTTTGTCACAATGATTCTTTAAGCAGAAAAGAAAAAGTGCAAGGAGCCAAAGGAGTCATCGTGTACAGAAGAAGAACAAGTTGGAGGAGCAGCGAACTGCCATGATGGTTACATCCATTTGTCCAAGAAACTCGACGTCAAGATGATATCCAGAGACCACTTGACTTACGGCTCCAAAGCATTAAACTTCTTTACACCCTGTGCAAGATAAAACCATGACACACGATTCCTCCATTCTCCAAGTCTGTCATTTGGATGAGCCCATACCACACAGGGCAAAAAGGAAAACGAAGGTGCAGCTGACAGTGCTGTCCTTAACTTTTTTTTGACTTGCTCACGTCCCAAGTTGTAAAGCTGTCTAGCTTTTCCCACATGGAAGAGTGGGGTATAGATTCGAATGGGGAGGATGACTTGCAGCAGTATGAGCTCCGCAATTAATACTCTGCTGGCAGGCTCTTTATTGACTTATCCTACTTTAGGTTCAGATGGGATTCATTTCTTACACAGTCAACACCAAGGAATCCCACTATTGCCTAATCGATACATCTCATATTTCGATCAGTGTCATAGAATATTGGATACAATTTGATATAACTTAAGAAACATACATTGAATTGCCTTGTAGACGTTACAAAGGTGCATTATGCAAGTCTATGCGTGGCCCCGTAGCATAAAAGATGAGAGGGCCTCGATGCCATGTTAGCATCCATGATTGAACATGTGATGTGCTTGCCACCACTCCCATCTCCCGAGGATAATTAATTACAAACACACACGAATATAAATATTTACTAAGATCATGCAACATATCCGGGACATGATAATGGATGCAATCCCACGTATATGATTATGTAAAAATGAAAAAAAGTGCTATTTATTGTGATTGATGTGATCATATCCACATTATTAGGATTACGATAAGATATCATTAATATCTCGATCAATCAATTTAGTTTTGACTCGTGTGTATAGGTATGTCTAGAATGTGATTGAGAGAAAAATACATAGCTTTCGCTATGTCATCTACATGAAGATCGAGGTTAAAATAATTTTTTTAATTCTATCTTTTCAACATCTAAATTAGCAATCCGAAGAGGATGAGTATGATAAAAAAATAATCTTCTTGGTAATTGTATTAATAGTAAGTTTTTATACATAATCATAGAAGGATTGAATATTTGGATGATAGTCTTTAATCGCTTCTAACAATCTATCCTTATCTTTTATCCACTTGCTTTGGACCCATGTCTATATAGTTAAATCAGCTAGGGATAATTTTTATCTCCTTATTTTTTCTTAGGCATCGTATGCAAACGATGATTGATCAATCGATATCTTCCCTATGATCATGAGACTCATTGGATCGTCGTCAAAATCTCTTAGTTTGATTTGGTGCAAGACACTTCTACCAATGTCATGTCTTTGAGAACAGAAATCGAAACACTAGCATCAAACTAAGCCGAGCCGGACCGGGTCGATAGGGACCGGAATGGGCCGGGTGAGGCCTAGTCTCGAACCTGTTGATGGAAGTCGAGCAGGAGTTGGGACTCGTTTAAATCCCTGGCCCGATCGTTTTCCGTCCATTTCTAGCGACGGCCCCTAACTGACCGACCGGTGGGAAAGGTACGACGGCAACGATAGCGGAGAAGAAGGTTCTCCGCCACGATTCAGGAAGCCCGGCGAGATCGACCTCGCTTCATGGCGCAGATCCCCAATCTCGACAACGCCCCTGTCAATCTTGCTTCCCTCAGGCATCAACCTCGTTGATTCATCATCGAACTCCTCGGTTTTCCGTTCTTGTGTCTTGCTAATTGATATTCTTGATGTTTGTACCAGGGAGCAATCGCAGAAGGATCTTCTCAACATTCTCAAGAATGTGCGATCCTCGAACCCAGCCGGCCCGATTTCGAGTTCTTGTTTCCTTTCCTCTTCTTGACGATTAGGTTTCTTTCTCTGTAGATTCGAGGGAAGAAATGTCTCGTCATCGATCCGAAGATTGGTGGATCACTTTCGCTTTTGATCCAGACGTCGCTTCTCAGGGTAAGCGGTTTCTTGATTCTTGGTGTCTTTTGATTCTTGGTAGTCTGTTTCACTGCGCCTCCGTTTTCCTTTTCTTCTTTAGTACTTCTTCTTTATGATCTCGCGTGCTATATGATGAGGGTTATGGTGATGCATCAGGAAAATGATGCTGAATTGCGACATCTCTCTGCAGAGCCTGTTCAAACCGAATGCTCCAAGATTCTGTATCTTGTGCGACCGCAGATCAATTTAATGAAGTTTATCTCATCCAACATTCAGTACGATCTTTCCAAAGGAGTCCAGAGGGAATATTTTGTTTATTTTGTTCCACGTCGGACAGTTGTCTGTGAGAAGGTGAAAAATTATAGATAATTGATTTCTGACACATTGGGCTTCTTATATTCATAGATATTTGTCCGAACACATAGTTGTAGTTCTATTGATGCACATATTCTTTTATTTTATTATTATTATCATTATTATTCTTATAATATACAGTAATTATACCAAAGATCATGTTCATATATACATATCTGTTGAAGCATGGATGGGTTAAAGGAGAAATTCTGATGCTTGTTTCCAAGTAAAGCTGATATGGGAGTTCATAAAATTTCTCAGGATCGTTACTGAACTTTGGCAATTGAGTTATCATCATTGTTGTAAACCTAAAGACAGCTGTTATTTTCTTCTTTCTTTTTTTTTTTGTCATGCTCAAATTGCTACCAAGTTTACTTGTACATGTCTTGTCATTTTACTTGTTGATTATATCAACAACTTTTAACTCTTTTTCTGTTGCCATACTTACACCCGAAGAAATAACTGGCTTGTTTGAAGCAATCATCTTTCTTGTTGTGTTTTTACAACTTTTAGCATCTCTTCCTCAAACCATTGCCTTCCTAATTTTCTTTCCATTGCTGCATCTTGTTAAGGGTCTAGTTGTTACCATGATAGTGAAATTTCTAAATTCGATACCCAAGCCTTTTGATGTTATAGATTACACAAAACTGGTTTATGCAGTATTTCAAAACCTCTGCTTTCGAGGCTTTTTTGCCTTTTTCTAGAGGTATCTGCTACTGTGGCTGCCAAAATCTTTATCTATTGAATACACACATCATTACTTTTATGCTTCTTTATTATATGGGGAGTATGTTTTTGTTAATATCAATTTTCTTATTGGATATTAATTGGCTTTTACAGCTTCAATTTGATTAATCGAAGCGCTACAGTCCTCAAGAAAATAATTGCTTCTTGAATATTCTGTACTTTATTTGGAAAATAAATTGTTTAATATTATTTTTGTTCGACGTAACTTTAACTTTTAAGCAAATTGTCACAAATTCAGTATACTGGTACTGCCCGATTAGTCCTATTTCGGAAATGGGCAAGTCTAATATTGACTTATAAAGGTCTGATGAGTGTACTATTGCCAACTTCAGCTTAAGCTTTTTGACCAATTGTTTAGGTTAAACGAAGTTGATGGATAAATTAGCCTATCAGGCTCGGGTCATGACATTTGATATCAGAGCTGTCCTAGTATTTGATCTTAGTGAGGAGGCTCGAGTAAGAAAGGGTTACCCATGGATGGGGTTAGAGGACTCTTCATGGTGTGGAGTCATCATTGGGCTATGCCTTACATGTACCATATTAGAATTTGATTTGGGCTCTTCTAGGCCTTAACGAGGGTGTCAAGTCCTTGAGTGAGGACGATTGTAACACCATGCCAACTTTGATTGGTATACTATTGTTAACTTCAGCTTAAGTATTTTGACCAGTGGTTTAGGTCAAACGAAGTTGATGGGTCAGTTAGCCCACCAGACTCTGGCCGTGATAGGTACTGGGGTCCAACATGTGGAAGCCGATATCAAACCACTTATTTGAAACCTTCGTGCCATCCTAATGCATTGAGTAAAGTCAATCATTGTTTAAGGCAATTCATTGTTTATTGGTAGCCAATTGCCAAGTGTATGTTAATGAACAATAACAAAATTTTTTTGGAGCTTGGCTTTGTTATGAATCCAATTCCAATTGAAGACCAGAAGTTACTAGATTCTTATTATTATTTTTCTGTGTCATCGTCATCTTCTGTTAAATTTATTAAAGATTTTGTTTGTTGCCAATTTTTGTCCTCTCATATCTCCTTAAACCGGATTTATGTCTCTTTATGAAGAAAATTTCATTCCGACCTTTTTCATTTATCATCTCCATTTTGGTTATTCTTACTTTCCAGCATTGCTTTTTTGGAATGAAATTGCATTTAAAATTGCAATTTCTAATTATTTGAAAATTTTGATAGTCTATCTGTAAAAGTTTGTTAATTGAGAAATTGTAATTGCTTAAAAATATTGATATATGCTCTTGCAGATCTTTGAAGAGGAAAAGGTTCATCATATATTGACTATTGGAGAATACCCTTTTTACTTGTTGCCATTGGATGAGGATGTTCTATCTTTTGAACTTGATCTTGCATACAAGGTATACAAGATAAGTATACTTGATATGTTCCATCATTTTAGGTCCCAAAACACTTTTCACGTTTTGTTGTGGATATTGTAGGAGTGCTATGTTGATGGCGACACAAGTTCGGTTTGGCATATTGCAAAAGCTATTCATAAGCTGGAGGTATGTTGTTGCCGTACACTAAAAATATGTATGGATGCTTTTGCCGTCTACCGTATCTGTTACTTATTGAATGTAGTCTGCTTTACTTTTGTTCTAGCTTCTTAGAAATTTATGTTCATATTATTGGGTTTGTTCAGATCTATTTCCTTTGCCACATGTCTTGAACAGTTGGTGAGGAAAAATGATATGCTTCCTTTATTTTTTTTTTAAAATGTCCAAAATTATCTTCTGGCTTTGATATTCAAATTAGCTGAAGTTAGCTGCATAGATCCTTTTATCATTCGGTTCTGAGAACTTTTTGAGAGCTACATACATCTTTTATTATTTGTCAATCCATCATATTCTTGTTACTTGCATAAGACAGAATGCAGGAATACCATTCCTTTTCTAGAATGTACCAGGTATTCCAACCATGGTTCTAACTTCTAGGTCTCTGATATTGGACGTGACTGGTCTCTGGTTAAACCATTATGGATCCAGTTCGTATGGGTGTACCAACACGGTATGCTGGTACATGCTGAAGTACCAACAGAGTGGAGAAGGATGGGGAAAAGAAGACGAGGGGAAGTACTGACGACAATGGAAGGCAGGTGGGCTGTCTGCACGGGCGATGGTGTGCCCCACACCCCTTAGGCTCAGGGGAAGGGGGCGTGAGATATATATATATATATATATATATTGTTTCTTTCATTCTGGGAACACTGTTAGCTCTCACGTCACCATGGGTACTTGTGAACTTCTTAAGACTTCTTCCCTTCTTCTCATTGCATAATTCATAGTGTGGATAAAAGTTCTGGTAATATCTTATGGTGGTATTCATTTGACTTCAATGCAAGTGCTGCAAAATGAGTTTCACTAGACACCTTAGAAGACATACTAGAATTATGGATTCTTAATCCTTTACACATTACTTTGAAAGAGCATCCTTTTTCTCTGTATGATTATGGTTCATATTAGTTTATCTTCCTTTTCTGTCATATTTTATTGTCAGAAACTCTTTTCTAATGTAGTGGAAAAGGATACTATCAAACTTCTGATTTTTTTCATCGCTTTTAGTAACTACCAATTATGTTGTTGCTAGTATAGTTTTAGATTTTCTCTAGTCACACATTAAGGAAATCACTGCTGTGCCAGCACTAGCTGTTGACTTCCTGAATATGACAGTTCTTTGATCATTTGAGGAAAAGAACTCTCTCCATTGTTGTGCATCGTACTCTTATTTTTCTTGAAACATGTTTGCATCAGTATTGTCATTTTAATTTGCTTTAGTTGCATCTTGCCTAATTTTATCAAGTCTTGCAATTACATTTCAGTTTTCCTTTGGGATAGTACCAAATGTGAGGGCTAAAGGGAGGGCAGCAACAAAGGTTGCTGACATTTTAAATAGCTTGCAAGTGGAAGAGCCTGTTAACGCAGCTGATGTAATTATATATCATGTGTCCAGTGTCTTTTGCCAAAATTATCTTTCCAATGTGTTATAATTGATGGCAATAATTTTATTATGGTGCTTCAGATGGGAATTCCTGAGATAAACACACTTATTTTGCTGGATCGTGAGGTACTTTTCTTTCACAATTTGGATTACTGATTTGTCTACAACACTATGTTGATGATTGAAAAGTGTTCACTAATTTGTTTGATAGGCCAAAATTATCTTTCCGTGTTGCTTTTTTCTTTTTTAATTTATAGTCCAACAGCCATTGCTAACTCTGCCTTATGTAATCTGCTACCCTTGAGGATTTCTTTAATCTTGTTATACAGTCATGTTTGTCAGTCTTCTGTTTTTGAGATTTCTTTCCAAGTTACTGTTCAAAACTAAAATTTTCTGTGCAGTTACTACAGTATGTATTGCTTTCTTTGTAAGGCTTGATGATTTCTTTAGAAATCTCTGTATAGTTTTTCTGATTTCATGTGTACTGCAGGTTGATATGGTGACACCTATGTGCTTTCAGCTTACATATGAAGGACTGCTAGATGAGGTCAGTCTAAGAAGATTTGGAACTCCACTGAGCTGGAGATACAAATCAACAACTCTATTGGTCTAATTATTATTTTGTTGTTAATATATCTGCAGATGCCTTTGGACAACAGTAAAACCATATATAAATAAAAATATTCTCAGAACAATATTCTTTTGGTTCTAAATGACTTTGTATTCATGGAGTACTTCTATTAGTATATGAAATAGAAAAATGGGAAGAAGAATGGAAATCAAGGTATTTTTATTTAGTGGCATGCAGCATGCTGGTATGGCATGTGCTGACCCCATTTTGGCATAGGCTTTATGCATGATGCTAGACCATAGCATGTTTACATTCTCTTGACATGTCATAGTATTTTGCCTCGTCCTAATTATTGATGTTGTTGTCTAGTTTCAAAATCTTGGTAGAATCAAACCATGTACATTAATGCCTCTTATTGTATTTTGGGGCAATCCATGAAAGAATTTGTCCAGGAACATTGTTTGACACATTTTCGGCATGATGAATGAATATCTTTCTTTCCAATTTCTTCAATGGCTAAAAATAGATATGATGCAACTAGAGCTGCAATTTTTTATCTTCACATGCTTCACATCTTTGTAGTTTAATTCTTCTTATTTTTTGATATATACACCTATATGAAATATTTATGATACCAAAATTTCAGCTCAGGGCCTAATTTGTCACACGATGTATACATTCATACTGTCATACATACATACATATAAAGATGTATATGTATATATACATACATTCATATATATATATATATATATATATATATATATATATATATATATATATATATATATAAACACATATGCATATATATGCACATATATATGTACATATATATATGTGTGTGTATACATGTATATACACATGTACATATATATACACATATCCATATACACATGTACATATACATACACATATCCATACACACACACATATATATGTATGTATATACATATATATGCACATATATATTTATATACATATATGTGTATGTGTACATATAGACATATACACATACATATATATAGATATATATGTGTGTGTATATATATATATGTGTGTATATATGTATATATATATATATATTATATATTATATATATATATATATGTATATATATATATATATATAAATGTATACATGTATATATATATATATATGTATATATATATATATATGTATACATGTATATATATATGTATACATGTATATATATATTTATACATGTATACATGTATATATATATGT